AAAGGTTAGATGTAGAGTACATTATAAAAGGAATTATACAGTATTTAAATGTTGATATACAGCAGCGGAGACGATGCAGACAGCTAGTTGAGAGTTGATGTGCCAGTGGGTACATTAGTCTTGATGTTATACTGGTCGATTAGGGTTATAAATTGGTTGTAAGTGTCCTTGTTGTTGATCAAGTCGTTAAGGAACTCATGATTATTTTGTGGCCAATGGCCAGGCCGACTGCTGATGAGTAATTGTAGTTGTGTCCTCTCAAAGTCCAGCATTGCACAGTGAAGAATGTAGTGGAGGCTGCCGTCCTGAGTGTTGCATGTTGTGCAAAGGCCACTGTTGCGTGGATCCACAAATCGGCTGATGTAGGAGTGAAAGCGGCCGTGGTTAGTCAGAAACTGGGTGAGCTTGAAGTTAGGGGTGATCCATTTATAGTTGAAGATTGCAGAGATGTCCGGGAAGAACTGGTAAGTGATGTTTTGGTTGTTGTCCCAATTATTTTGCCAGGTGATGAGTAGATCGTTCCAAAGGAGCTTTTTGATAGCGGTCAGGCTGAGCTTATTGTAGATAATAGGGAGAGTTTGATCTGTGGCAGCAGATTTAGCCAGGGCGTCAGCACGTTCATTACCGATGATGCCCTGGTGGGCATGGACCCAGTTGATGCTGAAGGAGTTGCTACAGTTTTTGACAGCTTCGTGGATGACATATGCAATAGGGTGAAGGTTTCTGTGACTTATGAGGGAGATGGCGGAGTTGCTGTCAGAGTGTAGTGCAATGTTGGTGTTGTGGAAGTTCACGGAGCACCAATCGATGGCTGTCTTGATGGCAAGCAGCTCAGATTGGAAAACAGAGCAGCTGCCGTGTAACCGGTTCCTTTGGTTAAAGATCTCCGTTCCATTCTGGAAAACAACAAAGCTGCAGCCCACCTGGTTGTCGATTTTTGATCCGTCAGTGTAGATGTCAATGGAAGGAGGAGAGTGAAAGTTATGGATGAAATTGGGAGGTTCATTAGGATAAGGTGAGTTGCTGTAGTTGATCGGGCATTCGAGCATGTCTGCCTGAATAGTAGTAGAGCTGGTGGTGATGTTATTGCCCCATTTGATGTTCCAGACTTCGCTGTAAAGTTTTATTATCTGGTCTATTGGTGGCTTTTTACAAATCACTTGTAGGCTGGAGTTGGGAGCAGTACGGTAAGCTTTAGCGATGCGTAGTAATGCTGTCCTCTGGGCAGAGATCAGCTTCCGACGTGGATGGGATTTCACGGCGGCATTGCCCCAAGTGCCACAGCCATAGGTCACGATGGGAACAAAGATAGTGTCATATATTACACTCATGGCTTCGGAGTTAAGGCCCCAGTTGTTTTTGGCCACTCTAGCAAAGGAGTGGAAGATGAGGCCAACACGGTCGCAGATGTATTTTATATGCTGCTCCCAAGAAAGGTGGAAGTCAAGAACGACGCCCAGGTACTTCAAAGTCTTCTGTATTTTAATGGAATGTCCATTAATTTTAATGGTAGGAACTCTTTTATATAAGTTGGGTTTACGAGGACTGTTGAAAACGATTCCCCTGGTCTTCTGGGGGTTGAAATGCAGTTTGTGGAGGATACCCCAGCGATGTATTTTCTGGAGAATGTTACTGGCTTTATTTTCCAGGTCAGCCCGGGATGTACCACCAACAAGAACCATAACGTCATCTGCATAAGCAGTTAAGGAGTCCTGGCCGAAATTGGAATTAAGGAAATTGTTGAATGCAATGTTCCATAAGAGGGGGCCGCAGACGGAACCCTGTGGGCATCACCGGACGACATTCTTATAGTGTGATAGGTTGCCAATTTGGAGCACAGCTTTCCTGTCTTTAAGGTAGTTACGAATTAGATTAAAAAGGTTGGTGGGGCAGGCAGTGTCACTGAGTCTCTTGAGGATCAGAGGCCACCAAACGCTGTCAAAGGCCTTTTCGATATCGAGGCTTATGCCAAGGACGTATTTATACTGAGTAAGAAGGCGGTGGACGTTGTCGGTGACAGCGTTAATTGCGTCACTGGAGGATTTCTGGTGTCTAAAGCCATATTGCGAAGCTTGAAGATGTTGGGTAGTCTCTACATGCCATGTTAACCTGGTGGTAATTAGCTTCTCCAAGACTTTACCGAGGATGGGAAGGAGTGAAATCGGTCTGCAGGTGGACGAGCCGGGTTTAGGAATTGGAACCAGTTTAGCAACCTTCCAGGCCTCCGGGAAAATGCCATGCTGCAAACAGGTGTTGTAAATGTGCAGCAGATGGTTAGGACACAGTTCCCATATCCTTTTGGCAAGCTTCGCAGGAATGCCGTCAATACCAGGAGCTTTGGTTGTAGGAAGTTCTTTGAATATCTTGTCAACCTCATGGTGGGCAAAAAGAGGGATGTTTGGATTGTTTATGTTGTTGTATTTGTTGTTCCTGATATAATGGTGCCATGATTCGTCGTCAGCAGGGTTATCGTCAAGGCAAAAGGTGTCCATTTGGTGTTTGAGGGCGTCTTGTATATTTTCATTAGTAGTGGTTTCGAGGAGGTGACTTCTTTTCAATTTGCCAGTGCACAGCTTTGAGATATAGCCCCATGGATTGATGGAGGCCTTGGTGCAGTAGTTCCTCCAAGAGGAGAGTTTGGCTCTCTTAATTTCTTGTTTGTATATTTTTTGGTAATCAATGTAATTTTCTTTGAGTTGACTGCGCTGCGGCTCGCTCCTGCATCGTTGAAAA